ATGAGGTGGATTGATTCAGTGACTGGGATAATTGGGATGAGAGTGTCAGAGACGGTGCGATTGGCACAGGACAGAGCGGAGTTTAGGGCTGATGTACATAGGGTCGCTATGAGTCGCAAGCGATTCGATGGCACTTAACAACAGCAACAACATGTGTAGCTACATGTAGTTATACACACATTTATAAGTAACCCTTTCACACTTCTGCATATAACATATACACATGTCTCACACACCCATAACAATACCTCTCATAGAGACACACATCTCTCGCTCACACACGTCGTACAGCCATATAGATATCACAGACATTCATATAAATCGTATACAGATATCTCTCACACATAAATCTATACACACAACTAGCAGTTATTTGTCATACACGTAGATATTCCACACATATTATCATCCACGTGGCTGGATAGATATCACATACATGTATTTCCCACATATCTATATCTCTCACAGACATGTAGAAAGCACACATTTATAAATGCTTGACATGCGTGTGTCTCTCTCTCTCTCACACACACACACACACACACACACACACACACACACACACGTCTACAGGTGAATCCACACACACAGATGAATTTATTGGAGATGTATCTTGTTCTTTCCTGAGTGGAAGCCCATCAAGGATCCAGTTAGTGCAGGCCTTTTGCACTTTGCCCCACTTTCCTCCTAGCAGGGAATTCTTCTTTCCCAACAAACAGGAAGTCTTGGTGGCCCTGTGATGGGGAAGGAGGCCAGTGTGGTGGCTAGAGGGACAGCTGCAGCCCTGGAGGGGCCGGACTGCTCCTTAGAGAGCACATTCTTATTTCTATGACATGTCAGTGGGTTTTGTAGGAGAGGGGTTTGCACAGACTGAGAAGCTTGGACCAAACTGTCCTCTGCTTCAGACCAACTGGGTTTAATGAGACTTTGAAGGAGGAGGGGCACCAGGCCTGCCAGTGACATGCTGGCTGCAGTGGCTCGGTTCCTAGATTTGAAGCCAGTGGGGAAGCAAGCTCTTGGGAGGCGGCTGTGTGGCTGGCATCCAGGGCCAGAGCCTCCACTGGCCTTCCCACGTGATAGCCGAGAGCACGATGGGGCACTCCACACGGTGAGGATTTATTAGATGCGGAAGGGCAATGCTTTTTAAAAAACCACTTTGAAGGCATTTCTTGAGAACTCTTAAGTTGAGCCATCAATTTCACGTACTTGACATAGCACTCTCCACTCTTAGCATCATTGCTGTGGATGGTGGAACAGTGAGAAGTAGTTTATTTGTGGAGAGAGTAGCTAAATTATCCACTGCCGCTTAAAACGTTCACTAGTTTGTTTCTTTGGAAAAACAGCCTCTTCTGAAGGCAGCTCTCCAGCCCGCTATAGCTGGTAATTAAACCAGGCCCTGGGCAGCATTGGAACTGAGCCAAAGAGGGGCCATCGAGATGAGTAAAACTGGCTTTTGAAAGAAAGTCTAGAATTGTAACTGAAGTGAATGTTCTTGAGTCAGAGGGCTTCAGCAGGGAGGGCAAAGAGCTGGCCGGGATGGGGTGAGTGGACCTGAGTTCTGTGGCCCCCAACGGGCTTGGCAGGAGATGCTGACTGAGGGGAGGGCAGAGCAGAAGTGGCAGCCAATCAGGAGGGTTTGGCTGTGCTGTGGGTCCCCAGGGAAGGCCAGGCTGTAGGGAAGAGAACCCCTCAGGGCATGAGGACAACACTGAGGGGAAGTGTGCAGATGTGAGGGGGGCATGTATCTGGCCTGGACCAGGTCCCCAGGGAGGGGATGTAAGGCAGAGCCCCAAATGTTTCTGCACCAGGCTAGGGGTTGGCAGCCAGAAGACAATGACGAGCTGTTAGTCAGCTTCATCAGAGAAACCCAACATGTTCCTTGTGCCAGAGGGACTTAGGAGCCTCAGATTTGTGCTAAGTCCTATTGTTTTATGTTATTTTACGTTATGTTACGTTATGTTATGTTATGTTACGTTATGTTACGTTACGTTACGTTACGTTACGTTACGTTACGTTACGTTACGTTACGTTATGTTATGTTATGTTATGTTATGTTATGTACCATCAAGTTGGAACTGATCCCAAGTGGGTTTTCAGGCAGCTTATCATATTGGAGGAAATTTCCCATCCTTCTCCCATGGAGCAGCTGATGAATTTGAACCATGTACCTTTGTGTTGGCAGCACAGTTCTCTGCCACTAATCCTCCAGAGTTCCCTACCTAAGTCCTGTATTCACATTTATTTGTAACTTCATCTGTCAAAACCTTGAGATCCAGTAGGGAGGCTTCCCAGAGGCTGTGTCAGCTGTGGACAGGTTGAGGGTCCCAGCCAGGCTACTTCATTTTAGGAGTACACCCACCGGTAGGACAGTGAGGGTGCCCTTCCTTGTGGTCCCTTGACCCTGCAGTTCTACATCCAAGAGTGCATCCTAGGCACAAGATGACATGTGACTGAGGCTTTTCAGTGTGACACTGCAAATTTTTATAGTGAAGAAGCGGAGAACTAGCTCAATGTCCATATGTATGATGGATTGATCTAACATGATGTTGCATTGACACCATGAAATAGTATTACTTTCAAACTTCACAGGTGGCCCCCTGGGACTTTTTATTCTGTTATCCTTGGCAGTGAAAGTTATTTGCAGATTGTACATTCACAAACTCACCTATTTGCTGAAAACACTCCCAGGGCTTTCATAGTCATTTGCAGACATACAGAGAATAGGGGGAGCCTCCCAGCTGAAGTCCACCAAGCCTGGCCTTGGATTCACTTATCCAGCATTCCCAGGGACTCTATGGTGCTAGACTACTAACCTCTGTGCTGGCAGTTTGAACTTACCCAGGAGTACCAAGAGAGAAAGTCCTGGTGATCTGTGTCTATAAAGATTAAAGATAACACGTGGCTTAGTGGCAAGAAGTTGCACTGCAATCCCAGAGGTGCACGGTTCGAATCCATCAGATGCTCTGCTGGAGAAGGAAGGACAATCTCCTCCTGTACCAGTCAGATCCGATTTGATGGTACACACACACAAAAGAATAAAATTTAAAAATTTATTTTAAAAAAAGATTAAAGATAACACAAAGAGGCAATTTTAATCTACACCATGAGTTGAAATTGACTCCATGGCAATGGTTTTTGTTTGTTTGCTTGTTATTTTTAAGCTGTCTTGCACAATGAGAATCGACTATCTACAAATCCAAACTCAAACTTCCTACCAACGTGTTGGTACTGACTGACAGTGACCCTGTAAGAAAGAATCAAATTGCCTCATATGGTTTCCAAGGCTGTAACTCTTTACCAGAGGGGACTAAATTTTTCTCCTGCAAAGTGCCGTTGAATTCAAACTGCTGGCCTTTCAGTTAGCAGCTGACTGTTTAACACATGGTGCCATGACTATACATGGTGCTATGACCAGTGTGCATAAGCATAAAAATGTGTGGGCCTGACTTCCCTGTCCTGTGGTCTCCGCAGTACTCACGCCAGGAGCAGGAGGAGGAGGGTCGGAAGCGGTACGAAGCCCAGAAGCTGGAGCGCATGGAGACCAAGTGGAGGAATGGGGACATCGTGCAGCCAGTCCTCAACCCAGGTGGGTGTGGCGGGCTGCTGACCCCTGTAGGCAGGTGCTCTGGGCAGCTTACCTGAAGAGACTGGAGGATGAACATCTTCTCAGGGGCCAGTGGCCTTCCCAGAGCCAAGAGCCCCCTAAGTTCCTCAAGGAAGGCTATCCAGTGCCCTATCCTTACATTTGGACCCCTTCCTCATGTCACAGCCCATGATCAGTGGGTGATATGAGCACGTGGCCCCACTCTACTGGCATGTCACCTGTGACAAGGAAAAAAGGCCTGTATACTGAGAAGTTGTTGGTGTATCTTCCCACCCACAACTGTGTTTAAGAACACTTGTTTCTGATAACATCTCTGGCTCCTAAAACAAACAAACAAAAAACAAAACCAACTATGACTTTTTTTTAAATGGCAGTATCTTTTAGGTGTTGCCTTCCTCACCAGCTCCCTCCCAGGGTGACTGGTTTTGAATAGCCTGATCTAATCACCGATTCAGTGTGGGAATGGTGCAATGTTTGTGTATGTGTGCCTTTCTCTCTTAGGTTTTATTTCTGCCATTCGTTCATCTTTTGCCTTCAAGTGCACAGTTGTCCACCCAACCAGATTAACCAAATGTCCACCCACCATACAAACAAAGAGGTTAAGGGATGCACTTGAGCATCCTCAGCAGAGCACTCTTCCCAGCATGCAGCCACAGTTCGGGCCAAGGGTCTTAGGGATCCTCTGGGGGCAGATCTGTTCATCTAAGAACACGGTGAACCTTTGAGGACATGGGTCTTCCTTCCATTCACAAAAATCATCAGCTTTCATAATGTTGAAAGGCATTCTTTCTGATAGGTGAGGGGCCAGGGCCAGGGCCGCACATAGTGCCTGGAGTTGGTGAGTTGGTGCCAAGCTAGACGAGCTCCCAGTGGAGGGGGCACACCCCTCCCTCAGAGAATCAGAGGAGCAAAGTGGGAAACTGGGCTAGCGGGCTAGGGCAGCCTGGAGGTGCTGAGTGCATTTGGTCCTGTTAGTGCTGTGACGAGCACAGGGAACAAAGGCCAGTATGACTGGGGACTGGAGATGGTCCCTTGTAAGGAACTGGAATAAAGCTGACCACAGTACTGAGTGGGGGTGAGAGGTCCATCAAGGAGGAGGCACTTAACAGTGTCCCCAACAATGGGGAAGGAGAGGAGAGAGGGGTGGCAACCAGGTAGCTGTGTGGACCCCCATGAGTGCACACTTTCTGGTGATCTGCTGAAATGAGAGCCAGACTCTGAGGAGATGCTAAAGGGTAAGAAGGTACAAGGAGGCAGGGCCACTGGACATGTCTCTCTGATTTGACCCTGACCCTCACAGCATTAAATCTTTGCTTACCCGCTGACTGACCATTGGGGGGCAAATTAATCAGCTCATAAGGTTTTGGTTTATTGCTTTTTATATTTTTCCCCCCTATCATTT